CTGTAAAACTCCAGAACAGAACACGATAGAATGAGGGTGAATTTAGGAGTTGTAAGATATTAGATACCACGAAGTCCTATCCCTTCGTTTTAATTTGGAGGATTCTGAGACCAGAGTGGCTAAGGGGATTGCGCAGGTTCAGTGTACTGACTTAGAAAGACAAATCTGTAATTTCAGTAAAAACAAAGGAGCCACAGAGGCTAGGGAGTGGAAGCCACAGTGTAAAATAAAAATTAAGCTGGGAGAAAACTTAAGCTACATCTTTATCTCCGAGCATATGCTAAAATAAATTTCAGCTAGAAAGATTAAAGGATTAACAACAAGAAAGAAAGCCATAAAGAACCTAGAAGAAAATGTAAGTGAAAGATTTCTTTTTCATATCGTAGGACAGAAAAGGACTTCCTCAGCATAAAAGGAAAAATGAGAAAAAAAATATTTGAAGTTAAGCTTTTCAAAAATAGAACAATTACTAAAAGCAAACAACAGAAAAATATCTGCAAAAATATGAACATATAAAGGATCAACATCCTTAACATATGCTGATGAATAAACAACAAAGCAATAACCAATAACAGCAAACTTCAATATCAAATCAGGCAAAGGACACCAGGTAGGTAATTCAAGAAGAAAACTAAATGGTCAATAAAAAATTGAGAAAACATACAATGTATTATAATCAAAAATACAAATTATAAGATGTCATTCTTGATCCATAGTATTAGAGATTAAATAATGACTCTCTTCAATGTTGGCAAAAGTTGTGGAAACAGATACTCCCACGTCCTGTTGGTAATAGGATTAATACATTTTTTTATAGTAAATTGTCGATACACGTCAAAATCCTTCAAAACATAAATATCCTTTGATTTAAAATAGGTAGTGGTTGTCCAAGTGTGGTCAATGAACTCCTGGAGTCCCTGACACCTTCTCAGGGGTCTACAAGGTCAAAATTATCTTTATAGAAATAGTAAGACATGATTTGCCTTTTCCCTGTGTGACATGTGCAACGGGGGTGCAGAAACAATGAAGGGTAAAGCTGCCGGCTCCTGAGCACAGATCAAGGCCAGGCGCAACTGTCCTAGGAGTCGTCGTATTCTTCACTGCCACATACTTGTAGGGGGAAAAGGCCAGTTTCACTTAAGAATAATACGCAACCCTTGAATACACATCCTTTTAACATTTTACGTGACCAAATAAGAAGTAAACAGAAAGCACGTCTACTGCACACAGAAGTCTGACGGCTGTCTCAAGGAAAAGCACTTGGATGATTGTTTGAGTGCTGAACTAGCTGCTTTTTCCATGAAACACCCCTTTTATTGGAATGAATGATCAACAAAGTATGATTATTCAGATTTGGGTATCTGGCAGACATTTTCTCAAAAATAAACAACGTGAGCCTGTCACTTCGAGGAAAACAAGTGATAATATTTGCTGCCAATGATAAAATTTGAGCTTTCAAGGGAAAATTCAAATATTGGAAAACTCTGTATCTGTCACCATAAGCTTGACAGCTTCAAATCTTACAGATTTTTCTGATGAGATCAGGGAAGATATTAACAAATGTGATTTTTTTGATGCTATATAATGAAAGGTGGCAACATTTGGGAGGCGTGTATAACTCACAGCCAACATTTTGCAAGCAAACAATGCATGATGATAAAAATCATAAAAATCATGCATAGGTAACAGATCCACTCAAAGTTCACGACAGGCCAGTGGACTGTAATATAACAAGTGGAAAGGTCCAAGGTATGGTTTCACATTCCACGTTGCAATTAACCCTTACGAAAATACCACTTGTTGCGTTTTATGTAGCAACAAAAATATCCACAATTATCAGAAAAGCCTATTAAGTTACTCTTCCCTTTCCAACTACATATTTGACTGAGGCCACAGTTTCTTCATATTCTTTAATCAAAACAACACATCACAACAGGTTGAATACAGAAGCAGATGTCTTCCTTCTCTTAAGGCAGACGTTTAAAAAATTTACAAAAAGTGTAAAATGTGGCCATTTTCTCACTACTTTTTTGAAATGATGGTTATTAATCAAGTATGTTAAACATAACATGTTAACAAAAACATGTTAACATATAATGGGTTTATTACAGTTAATTTTTAAATAAATTAGTAAGTATTTTTTTAAAATTTCTCAGTTTTAATTTATATTTTGATAAATATCAGCAGACAGAACCCATATAAACAAAAGTTCTTTGGGGCACTCAATCATTTATTAGAGTGTAAAGAGATCTGCAGACTAAAAGTGGGAAAACTGCTGATATGGTCATTCCCAATTTCTGGTCATCTAAAGCAAGAAAATAAGTAGACTTGGCATTACATATGTACAAAAACATCAAAAAATTAGAAAAACAAAACTTGATATCCAACAATAAGGAAATGGATGGTACATCTAGAATGTGATATTGGTTATTTGAAACACACTGTGAAGAATTTTTGAAGATGAGAAATGCTCACAATATGCTAAGCGAGAAAAGCAAGATCTACAAAGTATATTAGCAGAAACAGTACTGCAGTGGGGAAAAAATGACTGGAAGGAAATATATAAAATGTTAACAGAAATTTGCTGGGCTATACTATTATAAATAATTTTTATTTTCTTTATTGAGCATTCCTACTTTAAAAATCAGAAAAATTACATTTTTTAGCAACTTTTTAATTTCAGTCCTTTGATTCTTTAAGGAACTCAACGTATGCGAATGTCACCAAAAATAATTGCTGCTGTTATTATTATTAATATTGAAACTAATCAAGGCAGCTTAGTACAGAATTCTGAACTGAAAATTATGAAACCTGTACTCAGGACACTGTTTGGCCATTAAACATCTCTGGGATTTTTGACAAGTCACTTAACCTCTTTGAACCACCAGAAATTATCTCTCAGGTCCGTACCCAACCAACTCTAGATTTGATAGATAAAATGATCTATCAAATCTGAAGGTTGTTCAAGTTCTTTGCAAGGAACATCTAAAGTAAAGTAGTGCTTGGTGAACACACAATACAGTGTACAGATAACGTGTTGTAGAATTGTGCAACTGAAACCAATATAATTTTGTTAGCCAGTGTCACCCCAATAAATTTAATAAAAAGAAAAAAATTAAAGTAAAATAGTGCTATAGTGAAAACGGTGAAGTCCAAAACCACACTCTTTATAGAATTTCCACCCATGCTGCTAAATGGCTCTTTAATTCCTTCATTTGTCAATGAGTGCAGCCTCTGTAAATAGTTTCCAGTGGAAGAAGAGTTTGTGATTCCCCAAGTGGTATTTGGAAGAAGTGAAAAGTATTTGGGCATATCATGAGTAAGAAAAAGAGGGGCATAAGATAATAACCAATACAGCATGGTGCCCCAAATGAAGGGAGTCCTTCATGAGTCCATAAGAGTACCTCTATGGAGAGGAAAGGTATTTGCTATGGAAAAAGAAAAAGAATGAGACAGAGAGAGAAAGAAAAGAGGGAGGGGGAACGAAAGAAAAGCAAACATACAGTTGTGATACAAGTGCATGAGAGAAGAATATCTAAATGTACCTTCTATTTTAAAACTGCCCAGAAAAATCTACCTGTTCCCTTAGCTGACAAGCCTTCACCCATTCACTACTCACAGGCAGAGTTGGCCAGAGTTAAAGACAGATCATTAAATTCCAATTTGTCAATTTTGTTCCTGGTTAGGAAGTCTGATAAAAATCTTAGACTATAAAAGGATAAATATTGCCTTAAATATGGATAATATGAGAAAGAGATCCCTTCATTTTACAGATTAGGAAAACTGAGTCCTTCAAAAACCTGAGATCATAAAAGACCTTCAACTTCTGCTTCAATTTGTACTTTATTAATAGCAATTATCCAATAATCTCTCTTTCCTCCAGAAAATACTTCAATGGTGATGTCTGCTGAAGGGTTCCACATCAGAGACAGGGATGTTCTCCATCGGGGGCTAACCGTGCTCAGTGCCACACACACACACACACACAATGGTACAAGTTTGAATTTGGTTTTGACATCAAAGAAAAATAAACATGTTAATCTTTTAACATGTCAGAAATATAATAACCCTTTTGTCCTGGACTGGTTCTTTGTGTGTACTACCTGGGCCTCGGTTTGCACATCTTTAAAATGAGGACGTCTATAGTATACAGCGCCTAACGTCCTTTCTCAGAAAGTTGGATAATCCTAACATCACTGAAAAAAATTTGTGTTTTGGGGAGGAGGGAAGTCTGAACTATACTCAGAATGCGGAATGCCTATGCTTGTTCACGCGGCCAGCCCTGAGCCGCGCGCGGGTGGAGCCCCTGGAACACCTGTCTCTCTGACCAGCTTGAGGTGGCTGAATGACAGGAGCGCCCCACAGTCAAGCCGGGGCCCCTTAGGCCTGTGCGCCCCTGTGTGTTTCCAGGGGCCAACTGAAAATGGTCCTCTAGCCCGGCGGCCTGGCTGGCGGCTGAGCGTCGACCTAGGGTCCAGGCGATCAGGGTTCGATTCCGGTCGGGGCACATGCCCGGGCTGCGGGCTGCAGGCGATCAGTGGTTCTCTCATCATTGATGTTTCTCTCTCTCTCTCTCGCCCCCTCCCTTCCTCTCTCTGAAATGAATAAAGATATATATATAATATATATATTATATATTATATATATATATAATATATATAAAGGAAAATGGTCCTGTCTCCTCCTGTGGAATCTACAAGTGGTTTCCACTTGGAGAGGCCCGTCACCTGTCATTCATCCCTAGCGTCTGTCAATTAACCGGAGACATTCATGGAGCACCAACTCTGCACCCCTCACGAGCACATACCAAGTTTTCCCTAAACAATGAACTCGAGTTCTCGCCGATCCACCACGCAGCCTCCCGAGGAGGGCGGGCGAAGGGGGACCCTGTCACCGCGCTGATCTCCGGCCCACGAGTGCGCCACGTGGGTCCCCGGCGGCCGGCCGCCCAGGCCGGCGGACGCGGGCACGGGCGGGAGGCGGGAGGGGCGAGCACTTACCTGGGGAACCTCTGCTGCAGCTTCCTCAGGCTCTGCCTGATGGGGGGCACAGACACTAGGCACTGGGCTATCTCGTCGTACTGGGCTTTAGTCAGTATCATGTTGGGCCAGAGTCTGGGGGGTGGCGGGACAAGGG